GATCTGCCTGCTGCTCCCCGCTCTGTCTCTGGTGAATCCTCTCACCCTCTGCATCTCTGGCCTGTACCCCAATTCTGTATGAATAAATAAAACTTTTAAAAAATTTTTAAAAATTAAGATTCTGTTTACATCTAGTAGAAGAAGGTACAACAGAAGTGTATAAAATTCTACAAAGGAAATGAACAGGGTGTAGAAATGAAGACAACTTGCTGAGATGTGTGATAGATTTTTTTTTTAAGATTTATATATTCGTACAGAACTGGGGTACAGACCAGAGATGCGGAGGGTGAGAGGATTCACCAGGGACAAAGTGGGGAGCAAAACCGGCAGATTGACGAAGTACACTGCTGAGGGGAGCAGCGGGCGGTTCAGGAGGGTTCTGCCGTGCCATGTGGATACCTCCAGGGCAGGTGGTGATTGAACTCATGTGGAAGTGGCTTAAGCTTCTTTGTGCTGTGCTTTAACCCGCTGCGCCACCAGGGATGGCCCAGATGTGTGATAGATTTTTTAAAACATTTAGAAATAAATGCAGTTCTCTCTTACCCTGTTCATTCTCCCAAATCCTATACTAAAATTCAAAGTCAAAATTCTCCCAAACCCAAAACTAGAAATGTGTTTGAAATCCTCATTATTAATCTTATAGCTCTAGTATGTTAATAAATTGCACAGCTTTTTAAAAGTTTATTTGGGAAGCCATTTAATGACATCAGTGGCCTCCATTTGCACAAAGTGCAGTGTGCTAAATCTAAAATCACAATCAGACACATGGTCACTGGTTATCTGAGGAAACTGGGGCTGTGATGCTAGATAGTTAAATTCTGTAATTTTAAAATATATAGTCAGTCTTTTTCATGTGACCTCTGTCAGCGACTTCTGAGTCACTGCAAGTGATTAAGGACTCTCCCAGCATGCAACTTTGTCAAGATACTAGTAAGGACTACTAGTATCTTACACCTCTCCTGTGTCCCCTCAGCAGTGTATTTCAGTCAATTTGCCTGTTCTGCTCCCTACTTTGTCTCTGGTGAATCCTCACTCCCCTGCTACTCTGGCCTACACCCCAGTTCTTGTATGCATAAATAATTCTTTTTTTTTTTAATGGGACTTGTAAAATCATTGTAGCTCTCTATATGCAAGTCATTAAAATTGACCTCTCCTGCCAGCCTTTCTGATGCTATTCTAATTACTCAACCAGCCTGAAAATCCAGGGCAAGAGGAAATTCCCCTGTCCCCCTATGACATACTGGTAGAAAAAAAGTGAGTTAGTATGTACAGTATTCCCCAAAGTATGTTCTCTTCTGCCATATACTAGACAAAATTATTCCATGCATTTGAAAAACTTCCACATTTTCCCTTTGGAGTTTCACAATATTCAGGAGCTTATAAAGGACTTTGAGGGGCTTAAAAATAGAAAAGCTGTTTTAATCCAGTGTTTGCCAAACTTAGTTGGCAACAATCTTTTTTTGCAACTTAATATTTTTAAATGATGGTAAAACATAACATGAAATACCATCTGAACCATTATGAGGTGCTATTAATTACATTTCAAACATGTCCAGAACTTTTCTACCCTACTCCCCATCCAAATTTTATACTCATTAAATAAAAGTTCCTATTCCCTCCTGCCTCCCCACCCCTACCCACTCACGCCTGGTAATCTCTAGTGAATAGAATCACCCCTTGCAAAAAGTCATGCCACACTTTACCTCTGTATAATTAAGAGCAGTAAAAATGTAAAAGATGTTTCAAGTTAATATATTATAAATTTAGATCTTATGTCCTTTCTGGAATATGATAATATTGGCATTTTTCCCATATTCATATTTTAGTACATATTTATAATTCTATAAATAATACTGTATATAATATTGGCAAATACCTAACTTACAAGGCACAAAGATTTTGAGAAAAAGAAACAATAATATTTGAAGTCATAGATAAATATATTAAGTTATTGGAAAGAGCCCATAAAATACCAACTTTATCTTTTTCTTCCTCACACAACACAGACTTTGAAATTGTTGAAACAGGGCTGCTAATTGTTGGGGAAAGAGGGGTTTACTAAGGCACTGCTTCTCATTGTTCTCTCCCTTAGAATCTCCATAAGAGTGCAGTGTTTTTAACATAACCATGAAGGGATGCAGAGATTAAAATATAATTGTTCTGGGAAGGGGCCTAGGGCAGCAGTATATTTTAGTTTCCCAGGTGATCCTAGTATGAAACCAGTGTTGAGAACCACTGTTCTAGTCTAGACTTGTGCTGCCTCATTTAGTAGCTGGTAGCTGAAGGTGGCTATTTATATTTAAATTAACTGAAATTAAATATTCAGTTCCACAGTAGCAGTGCCCTCACAGGAAGCTGTCTGCAGCCAGGGAGGTGACCCACATGGCACTGCAGACCTCTCCTGTCTGGTCCTCTGCTCCCCTCAGCAGTGTGGTTTAGTCAGTCTGCCTATTCTGCTCCCCACTCTGTCCCTGGCTTGTCCTCTCCACTCCGGGCTTATACCCCAGCTCTTGTATGCATAAATAAAGCCTTTAAAAACAAAATGATACATTTCATCATTAAACTTTCATTTTTCTATTCTTTGTTTTATTTAGAATATCTGAATTACTGAATGATCTGTTGAGGTAAACAAATGGTTTAAGAAATTCAACCTATTTCTCAATAGTTAATTGCTTTAAAACATCTTTCAAGCAAGTTTATTTTTAAAACATCTTTCTTAATAGGCTATTTTAAAATCCATTTATAAGACAGGACAACTTATTAAGGAAATAAGTGACATTTTTTAAATAACTTTATAAAAAGAATCAAGAAGTAGCACTACAGAATTTCTCTACTGAATTTCACCATGCTCACTACTAGCCCGTTGTGTCGCTTTTGCTTTAAATTGAAATAGACTTTTAAGACCTAGGATCACTTTTCAGTAGAGTGTCAGAACCTATACCAGGTTGGCATGAGGAAAGAGCTGATAAGTTATCTTTCTTCTCCACCATTGAAACGATCCCTATGCGGGATACTTGAACTCTGGGCGGTATCGTAAGATCAGCACTCAAGTGGGCTTCTCCCTGGGGTTCAAAAAAGTACTGATGGCAGGATCTACATATCCACCCTATAAAGAACAAACTGCAAAATAGTTAGCATGACGGAGTGCTAATATTGACATCACAGAGTTGTGTGGGTTTCAAGTTTATATTGATAAAGAACTTAAAACAACTCAGAGAAGCCCGGGAGGTGCCGAGTGTTTTGTGGGAAGAACAAACCTGCATAGACCAAAAAGGTGATGAGTGCTGCCAGCAGGTGGATTCGAAGCTTGGTTCTGACCTCCTGGAAGTGCAACAGAGCGCTGTGGAAGATGAAGGAGCACATGGTCTCTACGATGACTGCTTTGTGCAAGTCGACCTGGATGGGACTCCTGCAAGCGAAGGTCCTCTGGCTGTCGTGGTACTTGGTCAGCCCCAGGCTCCACAGGATGCCTATGCAGTACCTGCTGCTCAGGGCGCCAATCAGCTGAGCCAACAGCCTCACCGCACCCATCTCAGGGGACATCCCCCCGAGCATCAACTGCATCATTATGCCGCACGGGTTACTGGAGGTGCCCACCAGAGTCAAGCCATGCACCAACGAGAAGAAGTAGACCAGCATCAGCGGCCAGGTTGGGTGCATAGGTTCCTGCTCGCTCAGTAGTTGCAGTTCATGAGTGCAGCAGCAGAGCTGGAAGGTGGCCAGAAACTCCAGGACGAAGGCGTGGGCCATGGGCCTGTGCAGCTGCTGCCGGGTGACCACCCGGCCCACCCCCATGGACAGCACGAGCGACAGCATCAGCACCAGCGAGGTGCAGGTGTCCTGCACCTCGGGCCTGAGACCCCCGAGCGCCGTCATGGCTCGCTCGCGGCCGGCGCTGGCAGCGGGCGCAGGCTCGGCGGGAGGCGGACTGAGGACCGGAGTCCGATGTCCGCGGCCCCGCCCCCTCCTCAGCCCCTCGGGGCGGGCCGCCTCGGAGGCCCAGGGGGCGTCACGCAAGAGGGCTCCTCCCCCTCCCCGGCTCCGCGCGGGGGTAATGGGACGGGAGCCGGGGAGGAGGGACGGGGAGGCGAGCTGTGGAAAGCCCTCCGAGGGCGCCGACTGAGGGGCCAACGGTCAGCTGGAGGCGGAAACACACCCGCCTCGCCGCCTCCCTAGGAGCCGGGGAGCGTGTTCCGGCAGCGCTGGGCGCGGAGGGACGCGCGCGCCGCAGGTCAGTGCGCATGCGCGCCGGTGCCTGCGCCCTGGCCCTGGAGAGGGCGGCGTGACCCGGGACCCGAGACCTCGGTGGGGGAGATCTGGGCTCCGCCTCGTGAGCGTTCACTCCAGCACACAGAAAGGGCGCGTCCACTGCTCTCTGCTGCTTTGAAGTGCGGGCCTTGAGATTTTCCTTTGCTTGCTCCTAAGGTGTAAAACTGGCAAAGTGGCAGGACCCCCGAAAGAGCCTCTTGACCAACCGCCCCGTTCTTGACTGACGGGGCGACTGTGAAGACTGGAGGTGCAGCTTCGAAGCGGGGGGCTTGGAATGGGGGGGTGGTCTAACCCGGGTCAACCTCGGGCGGAGCTAGGTTCGAGTTAAGTGACAGATGCCACTGGGGCTCCTTGAGACTTAGTTTCCTTTTGCTTATCGCCTCAACCCGAAGTCCTGCAGCAGACAGCCCGCCCCGTCGATTTGTTGTAAACGGATGAAAACCCCAGAGTTTCCAGCACTTACTGTTAAGTACCGACCAGAAGCATGGGTGCCTGCCCGCTTCTGGTCGGCAGTTCTTGGAGGGCTGGAGAGGAGGGAGAGAGGAACAAAAAACGAGAATCAGTGGGGCTTCACGGGGATAGAGCACTTGAAAGGTGTTGGAGAGCTTCTCCTCAGCTTTCCTCCCCAAACGCAGCTTGTCCTGTTATAACTCATGAAATTTCTCTTTATAACTCCGAAGTTTTCAGTCAAGAGTCATTATCTGAATTAAAAAATAAAGTCACAAAACATAGACACTATGTACAGAAATGAAGTAATACCGTCTTTCCTGTGTCGGTGCCCAACCCAGAAGTAAAGTAAAATTATTTTTTAGACACTGTTGTTGAAATAATTTACTTTTAAATTTACAATCCTGTAAGTATAATCCTTTCATCTCTCCTTTTACTAGAAGTCCCTTGGGGTTTATTTAATATGAATATATTTTGTTCACTACTCTGCTGCTAGCTCACTTTTAATATTAAGTTATAGAGAAAACTAGTCTGTTAACATCATTATAATATTTACTGTAATTTTAAAAACCTCGGGCATTGTTTCAGTTAAACAAGATCAAAAGTAAAATCTAGTTACTTGTGTGTGGGTATTTCACAACACATAAATCAATCTCTTTCTATTTCCAGACTCAAGAAATTGTAACAGGGTGATCCCCATGGAAAGGGGACGTTCTAGGCTCCCTGCCTGTGGGAGGCACTTGGAGGAGAGACCTGTGAAGAAGCTACACTTGCTTCTCAGCCTTGGACTTGTCCCAGGTTCTTGCAGAACATGGAAGGAGACACTTGAAAGAGAGAGAGCAGTGAGTGAGAGACCCCTGGGGAGGCTGACAATGGCAGCCTTTATTTTTTTTTTGCCTTCCAGATTTGTCTGGCCTGTTCTACTGCTTTCCAATGGGTCCTCACCAGAAGGTGCCTTAGACTTGTGCCAGGCTTTTGGGTCTCAGTGATCCTGTTTTGGACCAACCCTGTTTGGCTGGGCATTTACCCAGGGGTGGGTAACTTTGGGTGCTCTTTTCTCTTAATTGCACACTAATTTTATTAAAGGTGTTAAACACACTAGAGTATGTTTTATAGAACTCATTTAGAGCGGGCAGGTTTTGGGGTTGCCAGGGTGCCCCTCACTTTGCCCTGTAACACAATCACTAATTAAAATCTCTTCAGTGACATCATGCGCAAGACCTCTGTGAGAAGAAAAGCACTATTGCTTCAGCATAAGTTTCTGTTGAACACGACTAATATCCAAGAGACATAGAGAACTCAACAAGAAAATGAAAATGGGCAGAGAATATAATTAGACACTTTCCCAAAGTAACATACAGATAACCAGAGCATATAAAAGAACACTTGTCATTACTAATCATCAGGGAAACACAAATCAAAACCACAGGGAGATACCACTTCCGAGAAATATCACTTCCCTTTAACTATTTATACTTTGTTTTTTATTTTTTCATTATTATAATAATTTATTTTTATATCATTTTGTGCATTTTTCCATCTCGGTTGTAATCCCCATGGACTTCCCATCACCAAATCAGCCATGTGCTATCACTACAGTCCCATGCACTCCCACTCCCCATTTTTGATCCCATTTCCCACTCCACCCCTATAAAATGTCTTTGGTATATAGTTGTTCATTATTATTTTTTTCTCCTCCTGGTTCTGTATGCTCCCGCTATGAGTGAAACCATCTGGTATTTTTCTTGTCTTTTGTTTTTCTGGCTTATTTCACTAAGCCAGTTCCATCCACGTTGCTGCAAAAGGCATGACTTTCTTTTTTGATTGCTAAGTAATATTCCATTCTGTATATGTACCACATCTTTTTAATCTGGTCATCTAGTTTTGGGCATTTGGGTTGATTCTATGTCTTTCCTAATGTAAATAAGGCAGCAATAAACATGGGGGTGCAGGGGACTTTTTGAATCTGTTTTTGTGTCTTTTGGATAGATACCTAGGACTAGGATTGCCAGGTTATATGGAAGCTCCATGTGTAGCAGTTTGAGGAACCTCCAAACAGTTTTCCATAGTGGTTGTACTAGTTTGCATTCCCACCAGCAGTTCTCCACATCCTAGCCAACATTTGTTGTTGCTAGTTGTTTGAAGATGTGCCATTCTCACTGGTGGTGTTTTATTGTGGTTTTAATTTGCATCTCCCTTATTACAAGTGATGTTGAACATTTTTTCATATGCTTTCTAGATTTTATTTTATTGACTTATGCATATACAGAGCTAGGGTGTAGGCCAGAGGTGTGGTGTGGGTGTGTGAGAGGATTCACCAAAAACAGTTTGGAGAGCAGAACAGGCAGATCGACTGAAATATACTGCTGAGGGGAGTAGCGGGTGAGACAGGAGAGGTCTGCTGTGCCATTTGTGTTAGCTTCCTGGCCAGGGATTGAACTCATGCTGTAGTGACTGCAGATAGCTTCATAGTGCTGAGACTTAATCTCTTGAGCCTCCAGGGAGGCCCCTACATTGTTTCTTAAGTTGCATTTATTTATTTTCTTACATAGTTGTTCATTTTTTTTTTTTTACAATATTTGATTTCTCCCTCAGATGTAGTCCCTGTGGCACCCCTGATCCATCACCATAGTTCCTTGTGCTCTTCCCTCCCATGTTTTAATCCCTACTCCTCTTTCTGTATGCCTCAGCTCTATGGCCTACTTGTAAGTTTGTAAGAAAAAATAAATATTTGGGCTCTCCCTGGTGGCGCAGCTAAGCCAAGCTATGGCCACTTCAGTGTGAGTTCCATCCATGGCTGAGAGGTGACCCATATGGTGCAGCAGACCTCTCCTGACCCGCCCACTGCTCCCCTCAGCAGTGTACTTCGTCAGTCAGCCTGTTTTGCTCCATACTCTGTTTCTGGTGAATCTTCTTGCCACCCCTATACCTCTGGCCTGTACCCTAGTTCTATATGCATAAATAAATAAATCTAAAAAAAAGAAAAAATAAGTTGTTCTTAACCATTTGGTTTTTCTATATTCCAGATATAAGTGAAACCATCTGATATTTACCTTTCTTCTGACTTACTTTGCATAGTATAATCCTTTCCAGCTCCATCCATATTGCTGCAAATGCCATGAGATTATCTTTTTGATCACTCAGTAGTATTCCATTGTGTATATATACCACAACTTTTTGATCCATTCATCTATTTTGAATTGTTTAGTTTATTTCCATATCTTAGCTATTGTAAATAACATTGCAATAAATATCGGAGTGCAGGTTTCCTTTCAAGTGACTGGATTTGTGTTCTTTGTAGATTCCTAGGAGTGGAATCACTGGGTTATTTGGTAGATACAATTTTAGTGTTTTGAGGAACTGACACACAGCTTTCTATAGTGGCTGGACAATTTATATTCCTATCAGCAGTGTAAGAGGGTTTCCTTTCTCCACACACTTATTTGCATTTCCCCCTCCCACCCCCACCCCCAGTTTTTGTTTTTAAATGGGACATTCTCACAGGTGTGAGATGATATCTCATTGTGTGTTTGATTTGCATTTCCCTGATGATTAGTGATATTGAACATCTTTTTCATGTGTCAGTTGGCAGAGAATGGTCCAATTTAAAAAGATTAGAAACAACAAGCAAGGGTATGGAGAAAAAGGAACCCTCGTACAACCCTTATTGGTGGGAAAATAAACTGGTCCTATCTACATGGAAAACACTATGGAAGTTTCTCATGCTATTACAAATAGAATTACCATGTGGTCTAGCAGTTCTATTCTTAGGTATCTGTCCACAGGATATAAAAACACTATATTTGAATTTGAAAAAATGGATGCACTCTTATGTTTATTGCAGCACTATTTACAATAACCAGTATATGGAAACAACCTAAGTGCCCAGCAACAGGAGTTAGATAAAGTAAGTGGTAAATTAAATCTTGCCATTTGTACTAGCATAGAGGGAACTGGAGGCTGTTATGTTCAGTGAAATTAGTCAGAAGGAGATAGATAAATAGCAGATGATATCACTCATGTAGAATAGTAAAAAAAGGACAAAAGAACAGACAAAAGTAAAGCAAAAAACCCCCCAAAAATAAAAAACCAAAACACTCTAGAAATTTGAATGTAGGACTGAGGATACCAGAGAGTAAGGGGTGAGGATATGAAGCCAAGGTGGGAAAGAAACCCGCTGGAATCTGGTGGAGGATTTTGGTGTGCTGGTGATGAATGTGGCATGGTAACATACTTTTGAAGAAGTGTAAACCTAAAACATATGGTGTTGGAAGCCAGTGTTATCTCAATAAAAGAAATAATTAAAGACAAATATTTTTGAGTAACACCTGCATCTTGCAAATCCAGATCTCAAAACTTCAGTTTCCAAGAACAAGGTTTTCATGAGGCATAATGACTCTGATACTGGTTGGGAACGTAAGAAGAGTCTGGCTTTCTCTGAAATTCTAACCACTTTGTGTTTGGGCCTT